TTTTTTTATTAGTAACTTACCATTTGTGCCTACGGTTATAACATAATGATGATATTATACTATAATAATGGGTGAATTCGTTCGGGTCACACGTATTTAATTATATTATATTCTCTATTTTTTTTTGTTTTATTACATTTTTTAGATTCTGATCGGAGCGATGAGTGTATTGATTTTACAATGATGTGTGTGTGTGTGTGTGTGTGTGTGTCGTGTGTGTGTGTGTGTGTGTGAAATTCTGTCATTCAAACTGGTGTGTGAAAAAGAACCCTGGGAGTTTGTGTAAATCATAATGCTATATCATGTATTATCATTTACATGGGTCATTACCTCAGTTTTGGTATAATGTTAGGTAATTTCACACCGGTTTGGACCAACAAATATCTAGTAGTCAAAGGCGTTGATTAGAAACGTCAATACTTTTTTTCCGGTAAGAAACTGAATCTAGTTGGCATTGAGAGCTTAACATTACAATTCCAACAGATTTTTCTTAATAATTTGGAAGAAACATAATTTTTGTGCAAAACTAGTGTTCGAAAAAATCGATTATCCTAATTTGTTGTAAAAAACGAATCACTGTAGGTAATCTTAATTTTCTCAAAACGAGGGTATACATATTGCGTATCCGTGGTATGATTTTTAAAATATTTTGAATCTCTTAGCGCTGTTTAGGAGTCGTATTCAATTTTCGAATTTTTAAAAGTTTCATCAGTAATTGTGAATAAAAAAATGTGCACATTTTGAAAAATCTTAAAATGTAATACAAGGTTGATGTAATTTATGTAAGTATGGTGTAAGGATGATATAAGATGTTTTTCTATAGCTTTTAAAAAATATTGAAGATAATATATATAGGCAGAATTTAGTATTTGCCAAAATTCCGAAATGTATAAGTTATTTTGTATTTAGTTAGTTTGTGTCCTAACAACACCTATACCATCAAACAATTATACAAGACATGGAAGTTAGTCTTAAGACGGATGATCTCTATAATACTTACTGCTTATATTACTGCAGTCGTCAGCAGGCCAAAATATACTGAAGAAGTATGAATTATGAAACATAAACTTAATATAAAAGAATAAGTCACGAAAAAAAAAGGTAAAAAACAACGTTTGACCGTCTGAATGCATATTTTGTGAAAATATTATTATAGGCAGTCAAGGTTCAAGAAAAAACTACTATGTAAATAATAAAGTTTATCTACATTAATATTCGGAGACTGTGTAGTTGAATCTTAAATCCACAAACGTTTTACGATAGGAACTAATACCATTAAATAACTGAAAATATATTATAATATAATAGTCGCCAATAAAGAAAATATATCGTCGGCAAGACAATAAAGAAGATGAGTTTATTGACTGCGTAAAACTGGAATTTAATAAGTGAAAAATGCAAAACAAATTTCCATTAAATGCAATCGTAACTTTCGATGATCCAATGACCAATTTATTCTCGAGGACGTGTTTGAATTCAATAATGTTTTTTTTTTTAATTGTAAAAGAAATATCGATAGGCGTCTAAGCACAAAATGGTTGTCAAATCAAATAATCATCGGATTGGTTGAATGTCATACTATTATTGTTATGATTTATGTCGGTTATATTATGTCATTAGATTTTAATAACGTGATGCATTATTATACGCAAAGCTTTACATTCATGTAAGCATCATTCAATGCAAGTTTATCTAAAATAAAAAGGTAAAGATAACGTTATTTAATCTACGCGAAACATGTTTTATGTATAAAAGGAACAGAGTAAAATTGTTGTATTTTATAATACGAGTACTCGCACGTAGAAATGCTACCTTTGATATGATATTACATTTTAGTTAACTTAGTATTTTCATCGTGCATTGTGTATACAATCGTGAGATGTGTGCACAGTAGTTCAAAAATAATTCATTTATAAGTTAATTATTCAGTCACTATATCGGATCTTTTTTTTTCAACTTTTTGAATTTCATTTGTGTTGGTAAGTTAAAAATGTCTGACAATGACTATATATAGGATTTAGACAGACAGTTTTTACTCGTTCTAATTGAAAAACAAAAACGTTTGTAACTAACGGCTGGCTGTATAATATAATATTATAATATCACAACCGTACAATGACATTAAATAATAGGTAGCTTCAATGATAATTAATAATTTTAAATTTTAAAACATAGTTAACAATTTTCAAATATTACTTTTGGTCTTAACTATTTTTGATGTAAAACATCTAACGTGCATTTAAAAAAAGAATCATTTTTCTTAAAAAATCTGAATATTTTGTTTATGATTATGACATGTTTATTTTTATTTCCTTTGATAAACTATCCTTTCAATTTTCATGCGTATTTTCTATGCAAAATAATTTCAATGTTTCGTATCTGCAAGGCATCCTACGACGGCTCACTTTCTTCCTATATTTTCATAGTTTTTATAAAATCATGGTCATGCCAACTTAAATATTCCGAAAACTTCATAGTTTACTTCCAAAAATGTTTTGTTGCTGATGGTCGTCATCTTGATGATATAATTTTTTAAATCATGATTTTTTAAAATGGGGTTACTCACTGTTTTTTAATAAAACAAGTTACTTTTATTTAAGTTGTATTGTACGTATTTGTTGTTAGATCCTCAAAACTTGCCAGTCATCCCACTCTAAATAAAATCACTATCGAGTAAATTAATAATTAATTGAATAATTGGTCAGAAGTAATCTAATTTTTTTATGTTTCTAATTATCCAATACAAGTTTTGATACATATTTGTTAAAATATAAGTTACCATTTCGACTTTGAAACTCTTCAGAATGTATTTTTCTTCAAAAAACCAAATAGACTATAACACTCTGAAATAGTTGGAATGTGATTATCTTAGTACATAAATTAGTTTTAAATTACAAGATCTATATTTAAATTTGTGAGACAAATAAGAAAGATCAACATTATTTGTACTATAGTAGCTACCTATTTCTTTTGTGTGCATTTTGATTAAACAAATATTTACTAATATTATATATAATATTAATATTAATAATAATATAATAATAATAATATTTACAAATATTTAAAATTGTAGTAGCATATTTTGATACAAGAAGATTATACATTATAATTTAATAATCACATAGTCTCTTGTAGATTTTACTGATCAGACATTCCACGTTTGTAATAGGATTTATAGTTGATGGTGGTATTAAAATATAATATATAGTTTTATAGTAGGTATTAACTGTAAACCAGAACGACTTGCTGAAATCAAAATTATTTCCGAATTTAACAATCCACCCTATAGTGTTTCTAGGGAGTAAATAAAATGTTTTATACAATACGATATTATGGTTGTTTGTACATGTCAACATCATTGTTTCATCAGTAACAAATTATAATCATTTTTTATGACTAGGTAAACGCGTTGTATTAATTTCAAAATAATTGTTTACGTTGAAAATTAGTTTTTCATATTGTTTCTTTCAACTCAACAAATCATCATGCATAATAAACTAATAATGAAATAGTATTATAGTTAGCTATGTAAAATGAACAGAAATAGATTATATTTATCGAAATGAAAAAAAAAGTGCTTTTCTATTTACGTGCATGTATTGTATTGATTTAAATATTGTAGCCTTATTAATACCAAACAATGACAATGTAATTTATTTTTTACGATTTATATTGGTAAAAACGAAATGAATGTTTACCAAGGTAATTTTTAACGATGAGTATTTGATATTTATACAGTACGACATTGCTACTTCAGTAAATATTTTTTATATTTATTGTATATAATATTAGATTAAGCTTCAGTTGATTACATTTAATTGATAAACGTTGTCCGGTTGTCGTGTGGGTATGTTATATGTTTTAACAATTAATGTGGTCACTAATCGTGTAGCTTCAGCGGAGATATGATTACATACATTTAATCCAGTTTAGTCATGAAACGTCTGTACCTATCAGTGTATCAGTGTTTGAATTCTATCGAAAAAAATTTTCTTAATAATATATATGCTAAACACACTGACTCACATATTACATTATGTGATTCAAAGGACATTCTGTGCAACTGCCAATAGGTGTATGACTTATTTATTTATTAATTTTACATGATATACGCCGTGAGGCACTATAACATGACAACATGTATGGTTAAATATCGGGAAATAAATATATAATAGTACATAACGAGAACAAAAAATAATTAGAGTGGAATTAATATTGGAAAGATCGGAGCATGCGATGGATCGGGTTGTTATGGCCGTATGATGTAGAGTGTGCAGGTATATAGAACTGTCCTTGGTTGCGGGTATTATGTGAAGGTACTCTGAAGGATATATTTGATAATATGTCGGGAGCGTCAAGTAGCCCATTGAGCAAAGCCATTATAAAGTCTTGGTCTGCAAGGGAACTGCGGGAATGGAGTGTTGGAAGACTTAGGACTTCACGTGAATAAGTATAGTCATGGCAAGGATCGGGCAATTTAAGAATAAAAGCAGCGTATGCCAGGAATTTATTCTGCACACGCTCAATTCTTAGTTGGTCTTTGGCTAGGTATGGGTGCCAGATAACAGTACCATACTGGAGCAGAGAACGAACTAGAGAGATGTAAAGGGAACGTAGACAGTTAGCAGAGGCGAAATGTTTAGTATTACGCTTTATGAAGCCAAGACTTATATAAATGAAACAGTTTTATGCAGCACCTATTTAAATTAGATGCAAATATTTTCGATATAACGATATTTCTACACTTATAGGTAACTGTGTCATTTCAAACCGTCCATATGGACAGTTTATCATATTACTCTATTAAACTCGACGATGAGTCCAGTTCCAGCATTCCTTCATATTTTCCCCGCACTGGCCTGTTTCTATATCTTTTGTTTTTTTGTTTTATTTTTGAACACATTCGTCAGGTGTCTACCGGTCACGGTACATATGGTATACAAACCAGTGAAAGGTTTATATTTTGCGATTTATTATAACAGTATAATAAATATACTCACACGTATTCCTGGAAGCTATTCGTGGTGATACCGTCCGGCCACTCGGCGTAGCAAATGACCCGCTGGTCGCCGTTGGGAAACTCTTCCGTGTGCGTTGTGAAGAAAATCAGGTTCGGTATGGACAGTATGGTGCCCACCACCCAAATGCTGGTGGCTATCATCAGAGTCGTCTTCCGACCTAGACGCGGCCTCAGAGGGTGAATTATCGCTATGTACCTGCAACGCGAAGAGGTTAGGTTAGGTATGGGATTAATGCAAAACCTATTCCGCAATTTTAAATTAGTAGCTCCTCGTGGGACACACCGAGCGCTCAAACACACACACACACACACACATACACACACACACACACTCTCAAATAGGTTTAATCTTATCGATACATGAGTCAATACATTTTATAATGTTATTAAAATGTTTCCTCTTTTACCCCCGAGCTTAATGATACTTGTACCATAATCTTGCAAGATACTGTGAGCTTAAACGAAAGGCGGTAGCCCGGAATCAAGTCGCATGCCTTTACCACAGAGAGATCAAACGGTTCAAACGTCTAGAATACTAATACAACAGTACAAGTCACAAGCTTACAACATAATAATACATTAGAGTTTGCTGCGTTTAAGCATTATCGGTGGTATTAAATTCCGATGATGTCGTCATCCTTATATTTTTAATGAAACGTCCTATCCGTTTTTTTTTTTGAAATGAGTAGTTTTAAAAACTTCAGTAATATTATTATATCTGCAAGTATAATATTTCAAACAAAATCAAAATTATTACTTATTATTAATAATAACTGTACTAAAGTAATTATTATAATCACACTATATGTATGGAAATATTATGTAAATTATTCATGTGTATTGTGTATAAAATACAGTTAGGATAAAATGGTTTTGAATTAAATCAAATTTAGTATAATCCACAATTAAATAGTAACAGGTTGAATATTAATTTTAAAAAAACAACAAATATTATGAAATTATTAATTTATTTGATAAAATAAACTTTATTTCTCAAGCTCACAACAGAATATTTTTTACATTTAAAATGTACTCATATTAATTTGGTTAAAAAAATTAACTCACTGTTTTTTATCGGCATAGTCGCAATGTGTTTAGTTTTCATTAATTTTTTTTTATTTTATTAAGTATTGTAAACTTTTTACAACAGTGGTCCTGTTTATCATTCTAGCCTTAGCTTCCGTTTCGATTCGTAAAAATATGAGTTCCCATATTAAAATTGAATTCAAACATAGCCAGTTCCGTTTTTTTTTTGGGGCATCGGTGAAGCTACCGGAACAGCTTAAGCATTGCGTCGACCAAGGACATTGGTGACTTTTGAATTTTTTTTCTATAAGTGTTATACAATTCTAACCAAAAACTAAATTTGTTTCGTAATATAACAATTTAAAATATGTAATTTTTACTTTGCATATTTTCGCATTTTTTTAAATTGTTGTGTTAAATTCATTTTATTGAATTGTTAAGGTCATTTTTGGGTAATATTATAAATATTAAGTTAATTTTGTGTATTTAAACTAATTTTTGTTTATTTTAAGATTTTTTAATATGTGTTGTAAAGGTAATCCCAATTAGTACCTACTGGTACTTTCCTACTCCAGTCTATTGATATTGAAAAAGTAATATCATTAATTCCCGATTCATCCGATAAGATTAAATACCTAACGAACCATTTACGAACCCATGACTTTTTAGGTATACAATAGTAGCTTTAGTAGTGAATTCGACACGTACCTATGTGGTTCTATCGATCTTAACTGTACAAAATGCAAACAATTAAGTCAACAAATCAAACAAACTGAAAGCGGTTACATTCATAAGTCTATTATGTTCATAATTAATAATTAATAATAATATTTATTTTTAAAATACATTTTTTTCGCTCATCTAAGTAAATTTTTTGGTCATTTTTAAGTTCATTTTTTAGAGTTTTTAGGTCATTTTTTCATTTTTTCAGTGCATTTTTGTGTATTTTTTAGGTCATTAAAATCTTAGCTCTAGTTATAATATTATATACAATTTCTTACAACAGTACTCGGTGTGTGTGGCTCATAATATAGCTGGTACTACATAAGTTGAAATTATGGTACATTTCACTTACACGAGGATAACATAAAAAGGGTCATTCAAAATGATTTAGGAACGTATAAGAGATTTCACTAGACCCTGCCAATTTCGTAATCTATATAAATCTGTATAAATGATAAATCTTCCTATAAATATATATGTTCATATGTGATGTGTGCAGTATTTCTGACACCTGCGTTGAATATGCGTATTGATTCAGTTAAACAATATTCTATATTTCCTTTTAAAAAAATTGAATTTCTATTATTAAAAAGTGTATTTTTTTTGGTAGGCACCTCCTACCTATACGTTTATTTAAAATCTAAAATGCAGCTGAAAATACATGAATAAAACATTTGCACTATTGAATTTCTAACCTAATACGCATATTGCATATGTATAATACTCAACAAACAACATACATTATTGTACCAATCGGCGATGTACCAAAATGCAGTGCACTATTATTATTATTATTACTATTATAATACATATTATAATGTTATTATTGTACGATAAATATAAACTGAAGCACCTTTCGGGTACATAGTGTTTATGTTGGTTAATTATTTAATATTTCAATATTGTTATAAGCTTACTAATTCAATCTACGATATTTATTTCCTTTAATCCCATTATTTTGTTTTGCACGCTGAACAGCTAGTCATAACAACACATATTATATTGTAATGTGTGTAATGTGTTCAAACGAAATATATGCACATTATAAAATATTATGTATACGAGATTAAACGTGTGTCGTGTGCCTCTTTATGGATTAATGTTCATACAATCATACATATTATGTAATATACAATATTATGAACAATACAAATATGTTTAAAAACTAGAAAAAAAATGCTTTTTGAAATTATTGTTCTTATTATCATGGCATGGGTACTTAGTACGGAGTATAGTGCGAATAAAAACACACAAGGACTGCTGGCGAGACAAAAATTATAGATTACATAAAAGCGACAAGAACATAGTTAACAGATTAATTAAAATTAACAGCTATTTAATTATAAGTCAGTGTGTGTGTGTGTGTGTGTGTGTGTGTGTGTGTGTGTGTGTGTGTGTGTGTGTGTNTATAAGTCAGTGTGTGTGTGTGTGTGTGTGTGTGTGTGTGTGTGTGTGTGTGTGTGTGTGTGTGTTTTAAAAGGATAAGTACCGTAAATATTACCATCATAAAATGATTACCAGCTAATGTAGTTAATGCGATGCCGCTCAATGAGGGTTGAAATGGATTGAGTAATCATAGGTATATGCGGAATGGTATGGGTATCGACGTATCGTGATGATAGAATTGGTCAGCGTCCAAAATAGAGGAACCGCAATTTCCGTAAAAATAATAAATTACAAGCGGCCTAATACTTTAATACCTATTGATCTGAAAAGTCGAAGAGATAGCGATAAATGCCGAATTTTCAATTTAGACGACGCCGGAGGGGGTCCGAGGTACGTTAATAGTAAAATAATATTATATACTATACATTTGGATCGACCACATAATTTAATGAAATATAAAAAAGAAAAAACCCGGGGTAGTGGCTACTGCATAGTAGCAATATACGTGACCAGTGTACCTCATATCCTCATCATTGAACAGGATTGCTGTATAGTAATTTATTTTTCCATTAGTGATACATGTTAGACTGATTATCGCAAAAAACTAATCGCATGCTTATAAAGTACTTATAAATTATACTATGCGATAATATGATATTACCAGCTGTTATTAACTTTCAAGTTATTAATCAATATCGGTGTACCATTTAACGGTTAGAATGGTGTAAATAGGTTGGTGGAATGAATAGTTTAAAATTAATCTAATTTGTTAGAAAATATCGTTGAGTATCGTAAATGACATTATACGTAATTACAAAAAGTTTCAAATCTCTGCGAACAAGATTTTTTAACTTACAACAAAATTACTTGAATCGTTTTTTTTCGTTTAAATACCGAATCGTGTCAAAAATTGAACTTGAAATATTATGTAATATACAATAAAACTGTACATTAACTGAAGGTTTTCTATTCAAAAAAACATTTCATCTAGAACAGCACGAGAGTAATCTACCCACCAGCTATAATATTTGATACATTAGATAAAACGTATCGATACGTTAATGTATGTTCTTAGGCGTAAATAGGAGAGATCTTCTGAGGGTAATCCCTTCAAAAAAATGTAATACCCGTCCCCCCCGGACATTTTCTGAATTGTTTTTAAGCTTATTCAATATTATAATAGCAGGGCTTTTAAACTTCCAAATCTCAAACGACATTTACTCCTATACGTAGATTTACAATCTGATTTAAACGGAAACATTAACATCCGTTGTGCGCCGGGAATATCCACTTTTCTACCCACTGGACGGAAAAAAATCGTTAACTGTTCGCTGGACGGAAAACGTTATTTTCCATCGTATCAACCAGAATTGAAAATTTAATGTTCGGCGAAAGTGTGAGAAAAAACATACTTACAAGACAGTATACTACACAGTATTCGTTACTTCCATTTCAAAGGATATATCGCCATCTCCAAATGCGACTCTTGGAGTGTACAATAACCCGTTACAACTAACCGGCTAAGGCTGTTCGTTCGTCAATTTCTACGCTATGAAACTAAAATCTATGGCAGGTTTCTAGTTTCCGCTAAATAATCGATAATTATAATAACGATTTAGCACGGCTATAGTTTAATCAACGGCAATATTATAGTGAACAACAATACCATATTCGATAAAGTTGTACATAGTTTGTAAAATGAAGGCCCAAATAATTGGCTAACGTTGCATAATGTATACCTCCATGACGTATTGAAAATTTATCACAGTCCGGTGCAATTGTATTCGCCTCCTCTTCCCATACCTACTTAATTATTAATTTATGTCAATGGCAATAAATTAACATACATAGGTACGCGCTGGTTCAATTGAGTACGAAAAACACACCCAACGAAGAAAAATACCCAATATTCAAGAGACACGATCGCAGCACATTGGGGTTTTTCCGGTACCTACATATTAATAGGATTACACGATCAATAAAAACGAAAAATAGTCTTTCCACGACGTGTCATAATGTTCGTCACCAAAAACGATAAATTTGATTTATATCTCGAGTACGTATTTATATACGCTCACAACACAGTTTCTTTCGGTCTGTATAATGAATCGTATTGTATATCGGACGACCGAACCTAACCGGAGGTTGTCTCGGATGGAGCATTCACAAAATTCATATCGGTTGCGGTACAAATCGGCATTACCAGAGTTCTGATGCTCTTAACAGTCTAAACGATAATATTATCATTTCCGACTTTGAGCACAATGTAAAAACAATTTCCGTACGCACCGCACTCGCACGATGTATAATAATAATAATAATAATAATAATATGTTTATGAATATAATAATATGCTTATGTACTCGTAGTGTGTGTAACTGTGTAATAATTGAGTCACGAATCGGTGTCGTATAGGAAGTTGGTTAGTTTTGCAGCGAATAGCTCGATGTGTTATCTCTTCAAAACACGATAGTTATCATCGTAAATGACGTTAGCAGACTTCCAAATAATACGGAAATCTTTAAGATCTTCAAAGAAAACGACATCATACTATACTTGCATACTTATTATTTAAAATCTGATTTTTCAAACAGGAATGTATAGGAAATCACAAATATGCGTCTCCTAATGAAATCGTTGTGTTTTCCACTTTTGATTTACATGGTTTACAATGTAAATAAATAACATAAAACTATATAAATAATAAATACACCCTGTAATTTGATATCTTTTTTTTATCGAAATACCACATTCGTTTACCTATATAATGACAATAATAATATGACACGTTGTACTTCGATATACCTGCCTAATTAATTTTTTTGGAAGATTTACTAGATTATAATATGGTAATCTAGTTTCGTGTGTTTGAACAACGCACGTCAATGACAAAACTGTAACAACAACAACAACAAAAATGACTGCCTTAATTTAATTTTGAAGTACTTTCGAAAAAAATACAATTAGATTATTGGTAATTTCGAAAACCGTAATGATTTCTAGACTCACGTGCGTGGTACTTGATCGAGTACATTTACGTTGACTATAAAATGCTCACATTTTCTACAAAGTCCAGCGTATATTTATATAATATTATAACATATACATTATATGTTTATTTTAAACAATTTCATGATTTTTTTATTAAGGAGGATGAGGTATTTTATCATTCACATCACATCACACTTGCACTCACAGTGTTAATGTTTTTGCAAGCTTACAAAATGGGTATTACACCCTGTACGATCTTGTACTGCAATTAAGTAAAATATTGAACCATGTACAGCAAACTAAAATATCGGTTTCTGTACTATATTATAATATAAGCCTTTAAGAACACCATTTATATTCCCGTTCGTCCCGATTTTCGTTACAATATAAACTATTTTGAGTTCCATCTAAGCAAATACGTTAAAATATGGAATAGGTAGGTATATAACTAAATATGGTTAGGTCACCAATATTGTTCTCTTAAAACCATAACTCTAAAATCAGCAATTCTTCCACCGTTTACTTTATCAAACACAATCGCCATACTAAAAAATTACTTAAGATTTACCTCAAGCACTGCAAATGAAAAACACAGTGTTAACATTAGTGTTAAATTCTATAATTATTGACATGTCTCAAAACGAATATCATATACATGATATAGGAATGGTCAAGATCGTATCATCCAAAATCATTTTATTCGTTTTTAGAATACAAAATCAAGCCTCACAAATAAAACAACGCAAGACTTTCTCAGTCAAAATCATAGTGAACCACTTATCATAAAACCGATTACCTACAAGAAGTTCAATAAAAATAACCTATGATCAAGAACTCATGGCCTTAATAGTCAACATATTATTATATTCACCAACTGATATTCATTTACACAAATTTGAATTTATTAAACAGTAGAAGACCACTACAAATGGTCGTAAAAGTGCATTTGGGATGACACCGACCTAGGCCATGGGATTCTATTTTTTTTTTTTTTAGATGATCTTGTTGGTTCTTCTATATTAGAGTACAGCCCTGAAAAGATTCAATACGAAGAAAACGATATTAAAACAAATGCATAAAACCTTCATTATAACTGGTGACTTCGACAGTCATAAAGTGGGGATCTAAAAAAAACAGGCAACTGGGAGAAGTAAATTGACAAGTTACTCGGAAATGATAATACTGCATATCTAAAAAACGTATATCCTACTCGTAATAATATACCCGAAAGAGAATTTTCTCATATTAACCTTGTATTCACATATTCTGCTCTTGTTCAATGACTACAATTGGGAGTTTGGACGTACTATTCAATTTAACGAGCAGAGACCATTTTCCAATAATCACCCAATTCATACTTCGAGGTAACGATGCAAGTGATCCCAGAGCTATATGTAGTCATAAAAACCCAATTCAGAACCTTTTTACCAAACTCCTAAAACTGATCTTACATAAAAATAATAATAATAAAAAAATTATAAGTAAAAAATTATTTATGTTTTGTAATCTGGTCAAATAATCCACTGACCAAATAATTGGAATCAACAACATAACTTGAGTGAAAAACTAATTCCAAAAATAAACATTTCAACTTGGGTGGGATAATGACAAGATAAAAATCGTAACATTAATTAAAATATTTAAAAAAAAATTCGAAAATTGGAAATCCCGGACTTCATATAACTTAGAAAACTGAGTCTTCAAGACCATTCAAAATAATCTTGGTCATATATCATCAATAATATGTCGTTGCTATTTTTTTTGATAAAAATATGGAATGAAAATAACTTTAAAAAAATATTAGGGATGACATTTTATGATTAAAATATTACATAATGTACCTACACTGTTCTGTAATAACTTTTTTTTTAAATGATGGTTGTTATGACTATCTATTATTATGAGTTATGACCTATTTTTTCTGGTCCTTTGTAAACGTAATTTATTCTGTATTACATTATATAATATTATGTTTTAACGACGTTTGGACGCAATGTACATTTACTTTGTTTATGCAGGTATACGGAAATCAAGAAAAACTAACGTTTGAAAAATACACAACTATTCGAATGTACATTCTACTATTTACGCTCTGTAAATTTAAATTGTATCAGACATCAAGGGTTAACGTAGAGGGTCTTATAATTAATTCCGCTTGCTAAATACTTGGGCAAAGAGACAAGACTATTTTTCATTTGCCAGGAGACGGTTTTCCAGGAACAATCCCGAAATCGTTATGTTGGACAACCATCCGGGATTAGAGCTTTTTCAATTAACAAAGAAATAAGAATACCATCAAGAGATATTATTTTTGCCGTTAGATGAATCACTGTCTGACGTGTAACATATTATTCGTAAAAGGATATTCAATTACAAACGCTATTCGTTATAATTGAGTCCATAAACATATACTTCTTTATACATTCGATGATAAATCGTACTTAATAATATTTTATGATATATCACAATATGACGACATCTAAAGCAGAAAAGTATTTAAACCTAAGGAAATATGATTATATAATATTTTTTTCTTGTTACTCACACAGCGATTATAAGTATATTACAATTTGGAAGTAAGATTTATGTTTTAGCACGATTACCTATAACATTTTTACCTTTAAATATTGTTTAATTTATATTTCTTAGTCCTTTCTTTTAAAATAAATATTTATCCATTACATACCACTATTTTTCTTAGCACTTAAGTTATAACATTAAAACACATGCTTTAAAAAAAATTGTATTATCCCAATAGCCTTGATGCCGAGGGTTATTATTAAATAAAAAATAAATATTTGTTTAAAACAAATTCAACAGTGCAATAAAAATATAACCAATTGTAATCCGATTATATTGCTACCAATGAGAATTAATTTTAATTGCACAATTGACGATCTCTGGAAATTATAAATTAAAGAGTATGTATTTTAGTGAGTTTTAAGAAATATTTACATAATATTACACGGAAAAGGCTTAAAAGTTGTAGTGAATTAATTATTTTAGTTATTGTTAAAAAAAATTAAAGCTCAAGTTATATAAAGTTAGCATCAAGTATAATTTTACTCTGGTTCTTTTCAACTGTTCCTATTTGAAATCCACAGTGTTTTTTTCTTTATAGACATTTTTTAAAACAATTTAAAGTTTATTCAGATTTTATTTCAAAGCAATGGTAAAACTTAAGTAATAAAAAAATAAAAACCGTAGGTACATGTACAGTTGTACATTAATAAAATATATAATATATTCTAAACTAACCATTTAGAAGTTTTTTCTTTTAATTTTAAGTATATATTTTATAAGTAGATTATTATTATTTTTTTTTTATCATTTCATTAACCACATATAGATTTTTAGGGTTTAATAAATAATAAAATTGCAAAATCAATGACCTACCTACTTTTGTTTTAAATTAAATGCATTTATTAACTAAAATATATTTTTGAACAATTAATTGGTAAATTTAAACTAAACAATCGACTTTATATGGTGTCATATACAATTTATGTTTAGAAAAATGTTTCGGTAGTAAAAAGTACTTGTATACTCTGTGAATTAAATAATTATTCAACTCACCGTATTTTCTTATATAATAATTTAAGTAAAAGAGGAATAACAATTATTTAGGAATTTTTGTTGAACAGTCTATGAATAGAAACATTTTTAATTTTATTCAAAACAATAAATTATAACCGTAGCTGAATTTTATTCTATTTTAATTATAATGGTGCATGGAAAAATTTAGGATGTCACTTAAATAACTGACAAATATATCTAATTATTAACTATAACTAACTTTACATTAAGGAATATAATCCATGTTTTTATTATCTATATTAATAAAATGCAATGTTTGTGTGTGTGAGGTAATATAATATACCTACCCGACGATGTACCTCGAAGCCAATTTTTTAATTTTGCATTTTAAAGAGGGGCTCACACAGGGATTAGTCGGCTTACCACTGGTTACATAAAATAAACTAGTTGTTATAATTGTATATAATTTTAGACCTGTTATTATATTTGGTCAAAATCGCCCAAATTACTGCGTTTTAGCTGTATAGCTTACATTAAACGGAGCTTAAGACAGGGTAAATCTACTGTAGTTATTTAATTTTTCACAGGACAATTACATCCTGCAGCTATATTTAATAATACCCACTACCAATAAAAAATCAAAGGCTTGAAGCGGAAGACCCTTATGAAATCCCTCAGTTTCCGACCGATTTTCATAAAATTGTCGTCAATAGCTTCAGCTATAGACCCGCAGTAGCATAGGTTACTTTTCGACTTTTCTAAATATTATACGAATATTGTAGATAAAATAATTTTTTTATGTATATATTTTACCAATGTGGGCAATAAATAAAATGGGTGGATATAATTTTAGACCTGTATTTTATATTTGGTCCTATACAACCAAGTAATTGTGTGAAATATCTGCGAAGTTTAAATTTAACGGCCTCTAAAAAGGGGTAAATCCTTCGGAATTTAATTTATCGGTGGCAAGACTGTGCAGGATCAGCTAGTAGGTATGAACCTACATGCAATTGGATATTGACAATAAACATACAATACCCAAATAATCCTAAATTATTTCAACAGTGTATAAGAATAAAAGTTATTACATAGTTGGTTGATAAGAAACAACATATATTGGTTGTTTCTGTTGTACGTGTGTATTATTTATGATATATTCAACTATAACTGCAAATGGACTATAGTTGACTTCGAGATAAGAAGAAAAATTGTTGCTCGGCTTAAATAATATTCCAGTGATGCAATAACGATTTAATAATTATACGATGGTTTTGGGTCTCCCACTATGTACAATACAAAACAATATTGTGGGTGTGACGTCATGTTTTATGTGCAGTTAAAATTATAAATTACACAAAACAGATAATGACAAATAGAAAACTCTGTGTGGGAAAACAATAAAACAGTGCTCTAACAACTCACAATCGGGAACCCGCAGAGTTTTGTGAGGTGCACTTTAACCACAGCGACGGCCTGGCGATTTTTAAGGTTTGTTTCGACGAATAAAACTTGATTAACGAGAATTTATGTCTGGAAACTTTACATTAATTTAAGACAATCATAATAAGTACATGTTATTAGGTGATAACAGACACAAAAATAAAAAACACACATCATTTGCAAAATCAATACAAAGTTAGCTAATAGCAATCCAAACATATAATTTAAAAAAAAGACATAAAGCCCGACAGACTGTCTCCATTCAGAATAGTATTTCGTGTACAATAATTTATCATTGAATTCAAATTTAATACTTTACCAATGCTTTCCTACATGTGTTGAATGACGATAGGTACACCGACACCTACTATGCAGCAGGATGACTTCCCTTTTTTTTTTCATATTTTATATAATTAAGACGAAGAAAAAATAATTCATTGTTTTTTTTTTTTTTTAATTTGATAAAAATGTCAACATCCGATATCCAACAAAAATATTTAAAACTGCATAGGTTTGTTTGCTTAATTGTGCACACTTAATCAAAATACTCGAGTACTGTACAACTTGTACAACTTGGTACACTCATTAAAGTTGTGCATCAAAGGTCCTTCACATTGACTCAGGCACTTAAAACTTGATTGTGTAGAACACAATGGCCGAAAATTAAATTAAAATCATGCAGCCGTTGGTCTACTCCTGATGTCCTACAGGCAACAACGACACCTTAACTGAATTTCTCTTCACCTATCGTTAAAGTAAAAATGGAAGAAGCTGTCACTCTATAAAGAGAAATTCTAAAAAAGGTAAAAAATTATTACTATAAAAAACGTTTGACTTCAATGATTGACATTCTCAAATTAATACTATATACGTGTTTGATATGAATCCCCGTACATCAATAACTTATAAAATGTATAAAATCATGTAATTGTATTAAATTATTCCCTTGTGATCAATTAATCTTGTATAAATATTCTGTACTTGTCAGCTGCTGGTTATACAGTAACTGACTAATACATTATACTTTAGATTACTATTTATTGATTATTTTTAATTTTTTTTTTTTTGTTTTACAATCATTTAGGGGTTTTTTGTTGTAAGTTTGAGATTTTCAATAATAAAAACTAATTAGAAGGCTTTAAGATACCTATTATCAAACATATTAAACACAATAAAAATAAAATTCATAAAATATCAAGTATTTCTCCAAAAACTAATAAATAGAAAAAACAGTAAACTTAACACCAAGACAGTGACTACATCGATTAAAAAAAAAAAAAAATATAACAAACTTGTACTCCACTGATTGAAGTGAACAAATCAAATGTTTTGTTATTACCTACCATATTATGGAATGCGTAAATTAATACTTTAAT